AAAAATCAGGTGCAAAATCCAATGACACTGTGTATTTATTTCTCTTTCGTTGACATCTTTGAAAATACACTTGAAAAAAATCTACGTAAAATAAATTTACGTTTATAAAAAAGGCAAAAAATGCCGGAGCCGAAAACGAAATGTCTTTCTTTATAATGAGCTCCGAATTCCAAAAATGTAAAATACGTTACAGTCAGTGCTACCCAGTTTAGGCTACTCGTAGACACATGAAACGGTACAATATCAAAGGGGAAATTATGAAAAAAGGCTGCGAAAAGAGCTTTTCTTATATCAAAAATTCATCCTAAAGTTCATGTTTAGGTTCACCTTAGTTCCCTCACTAATATTTTCGTTAATCTTGAAAACTGCAGACTGAGGCCACCGTGAAAATTCAGAACAGATTCTTCAAATGGTGACAATTTCGATTTCCCAGTAAAACAATGATCCTAGCCATAGTCGCCCTAGGCATCCCTAAGTGTCTCTGTTTTCTCACAGAATTTCTTTGTTTCAAATTTACGTAATTTGCGCCCATGAACTGCAGCAGGAGCTAACCATAGCTTCAGACATTCAGGCAAAAACCGTGAAGAAATGAACGAAGTAGCTTGCGCACCTGTCAATTGATTGCTCCTTTCCGTCCTCAACGTCCGGCTTTATTCCATTCGAGTCAGAATTCGTGCTTTGCTGCTTCCGAAAGCTGATCTCACCGTTGTCCATATCGATGGCATCGGTGGACGACATGTTAGAGTTGCTATCTGGCAGCAAATTCTGACAAACGTCTTCATTTTCCGTGCTTCGTCTGAAGGGTAGTTGTGTCACTGGGATGCGTAAAAAAATGGTAATGTGCCGCGTATTCACGTTAAGTGTTTAACACATCGATATCCAACAACCGATGCAGCAGTATTGCATTAGTTTTTCATGAATTCTTTCATGTCACATTCTTTGTAATTTGTGGGCGTCATTCTTAGAAGTAGCTATCTATGTCGTCTCCTACTAGATCCCTGCGACAGTAATCCTTGTGTCCATGGAGTGTGCCACTCTAGGCCTAATGGCGGATACAGGTGCCAGTGTAAACAAGGGTACAGTGGAAACAAATGTGAAATAGAACCAGGTACGTATGTTTTGATCCCTTATCAATGGGTTCGCAGTTAGTGTAGTGGAACACTGCAAGCAGTTTTGGGGCAAGACTAGCTTAAAACTGGCATAAAGGGCCAGGTTGTTCACCGCTATCAAGCCTTCCCTATATCGCTTGGTGTTTAAAGACCCTTTGCAGGGTGATGAATGCTGTTCTGTTGCGCAGTGAGTTTTGTTCAGAGGCGCTGCTGAAGTCTTTTCAGATGTCCTGTCTGATTTTGTGGTAAGCGGTTTTTTCCACAGTATGTGGAATGCATACAAGTGGTCGTGGAGTTCAGCGTATCACAGACTGAAAATTGACCTCTGAAAATTGACTGATACCGCAACCTTTGCATAAGAAAACTCAGGTGCAAAATCCAATGACACTGTGTATTTATTGTCTCTTTCGTTGACGTCTTTGAAAATTCACTTGAAAAAAATCTACGTAAAATATTTGTTTATAAAACAGGCAAACAATTCCGGAGTCGAAAACGAAATGTCTTTCTTTATAAAGAGCTCCGAAATCCAAAAATGTAAAATACATTACAGTCAGTGCTACCCAGTTTACTCGTAGACACATGAAACGGTACAATATCAAAGGGGAAATTATGAAAAAAGATTGCGAAATGAGCTTTTTTAGATCAAAAATTCATCCTAAAGTTCATGTTTAGGTTCACCTCAGCTCCCTCACT